CCACCTTAGGTGTACGTGGCTGGCGCCTTAGCCAGTTGAGCTATAGGCGCCGAGCCGGATCATTGTTTTAAGATGCATTTTCTTTTTCACATTTCGATTTCTAAAATTGGATGTGTCTTACCAACAATGGGTGTGTCTTACCAGTAATTGGCAGTACTTTCCCCTCTTTCTCTGTGGCACCAAAAGTAATAGTGTGTCTTGCAACCCATTCTGTCTGAGACATAGCTAAACACAGTAAGTTCAGGTCCCATTTTGCCAATATCCTGACTGCAAAAGGGAAAACTACAATCAAACAGGCTCTAAGATCAAGGGATGAACAGAAAAGACCAAAGCCAGGATTTGAGCTGAAGCATGGCCTGGGAATTTGAAACAAAGAGAAGGGCTGGTTTTGATGATATGTGGAATAGCAGGACATCCGGCCTCAGCACTGGGCCTGGCAGAGGGCAGGGCCCCTTCACTTGATAGCAAATATAGCTCTTCTTATATTCCATGATCCCTCTGCTTGTGCTGGAGGCCTGAAGGAGATAAAAGAGAATTATATTTATTGAGACAGTCCCAGAAGAAATAGAGAAGCCTCAAGGGTGGTGGCACTGATTTAGGGAAATTGGGATTAGGAAAAGAGCATGGAACAACAGCCATGTTGCTAAGAGCCTTGTCTGTCACAGTCAGCAGATGGGGAGAGGGATGGATGAGGGGCACTGAAATGGCAGCAACAATGGAGTTAGGGGAGGCACAATATGTGAGCTCCAGAGAAGAGGGGCCTGTGTGGCTTATCTTTTGTCATTTCTTCAGCACCAAGAACTGTACCAAGTACTTAGAGAGCACTCAATACCTATCGTTGGACAGCATTCAGCATTGCCTCCTCCAGCACACGCCACCAAAATGGCTGCTTTTGGACACACGTTCCCCTTCTATGCTGGCCCCAAGCCAACCTTCCCAATGGACACCACCTTGGCCGTCATTATCATCATCTTTTTGACTGCACTGGTCACCTTTATCATCATTCTGCCTGGCATTCGGGGCAAGATGGTGAGAAACAAACCCAGCCCTGGAGACCCCAGCCCCACAAAGACCCCATCCTCAGGGTGAGGTGTCCAGACTTAGAAAAGAGACTTCAGTGGTGGAGAAAGCATCACCATCATCCAAAGCAGAGAGCTACCAACTCACTGATTCATCAGATAGTATTGAGCACCTATTATGTGCCAGATACTCTGATCTCAAACACGTGATCTCAGTTTTAGAATCTCTGCCCCACCTCCAAGTCTGGAAAGAGGCAGGGTGGACTCAGAAGGAGGGCACTCCTTACTGAACCCACCCACCCTATGACTCAGAGGCTGTTCTGGCTACTGCGAGTGGTGACCAGCTTATTCATCGGGGCTGTGATCCTGGGTGAGTGTGAACTGCAGCTGACTTGGGCAGCTGCCTCCCTCCCCTCAACTCCCTTTAGCACCCTACCCCTCCTCTCCTTGATTTCCCATGACTTCAGGTAGCTTCCAGCCCCTGCCCTCACGCCTCTCTCACTGTGATCTCAGCCCTCACTCTTAAACTTGCCTAGTTGGGGGTGGCCCTGGGAAACATGATGGATGCTTCTCCTCAACCTTCTTAGCCTTTTTATTCAGGGGAAAGCAGATCAAAATAAATGTCTGTGGGCAGAGGGTGTCTGGATAGAGGAGCAGAGTAAATGGGGGAGGGTTGCTTACTTTGCTTGGGTGATCAAGCAAACAGGAGAAATAGAAGGTCTCTGAGTGGAGCTATCTATGTTTTCCCATCATGGTTTATGTTAATGATAATGACCTGCTTTCAACCCCAGGTCCCTGAGTGACTCCCTAAAGTGGGGAGAAAGGGAGGGAAGGGTAAATAGAGTGTGACCAAGGGAAATCTTGGATTCTAACCCAGCTATTCATCCCACACATGTGGTTGGCAAACTTCCCATGAACCAGACCATGGGCTAGTTAATGGGTATAGGATTATGACCTCAACAGACATGGACCCCTCACAGTGCTCCTTCTAACTCTAACCAGTAATGCCTAGACTTCTCTAAGTTCCCTCATGTCCAACTTCCCAACCCCAGCTGTGAATTTCAGTTCTGAGTGGTCTGTGGGCCAGGTCAGCACCAACACATCATACAAGGCCTTCAGTTCTGCATGGATCAGCGCTGATATTGGGTTGCAGGTCGGGCTGGGAGGAGTCAACATCACGATCACAGGTGAGGGAAGGCTCCTACCTGGGAGGGAGGGGAAGGCTCTGCCATCTTTAGGATCTATGTTTCATGTGGTCTAGAGAACAGCAGGCTGCCAGGCACTGGGGCTAGAGTGCTGTGTGGGTGTTGAAGAGACCAGCTCTGGTCCCTCTGCTCAGTGTGGGTGGGCCTCTACCCAGGCAAATACTCCATTTGGCCCATGGTTTCCTGCTGAGGACAGATACCCTGTTCCCCAGGGACCCCCGTGCAACAGCTGAATGAGACCATCAATTATAACGAGGAGTTCACCTGGCACCTGAGCGAGAACTATGCTGAGGAGTATGCCAAGGCACTGGGGAAGGGGCTGCCAGACCCTGTGCTCTACCTGGCCGAGAAATTCACCCCGAGGAGCTCATGTGGCCTGCACCACCAGTACCGCCTGGCAGGACACTATGCCTCGGCCACATTGTGGTAAGGGTGGGAAGGAAATTCATGTGGATATCCTGAGTGGGACAGCTGGCACCAGTCACCATAGCACTGAGTTGGGAAGCCCACAGGCAAGAACCCCTACCTCACATTTTGCTTATCCTTGGGTCTCTGAGCCTCCACCTGAGCCCCTCCAGCTTTGCCAGCAAACAGAGGCATCTGGGCCAGCTCTCACAGGGTTCTGGCTCTCCAGGGTGGCATTCCTCTGCTGGCTGCTGGCCAACGTGATGTTCTCCATGCCTGTGCTGGTCTATGGTGGCCACATGCTGCTGGCCACGGGCATCTTCCAACTGTTGGCACTGCTCTTCTTCTCCATGGGCACATCGCTCACCCCGCCCTGTCCCCTGCGCCTGGGCACTGCTGTGCTGCATATTCACCATGGGCCTGCCTTCTGGATCACACTGATCACAGGTGAGACCCATCCCTAAACACAGTCACCAGAGGCCTTGGGGCCAGGGAGGGCTGGCCAGAGGCCATCATGTTGGTGGGGTCCAGGATCTGCTTCTAGGGGCCAGGATGCCTTTGCCTTCTTAAAAGCTCCATCCTGCTTGTGTCCCTTATCTCCTGGTTTGCTCTTTCCATGCCACTTCCCCTCCCTCTTCATAGGTGCCCACTACCCTATGTCTTTTCTTGCTGGCTGACATGCTCCTTATTCCCTAACTCTCGTCACCCAGCTCCTTTCCAAATCTTCCAACCCCATGGCTCCTCCCACTTCTCCCAAACATCTTTCTCTTTGCCCCCATTCCTAGACCCCTTCTCTGTCCCTGCCTCACACAACCCTAAATTATCCTGCAGTTTTAGTCTCCTTTCTTATCCCACTGTACCTACACCCCCCACACATCCTCCTCTGAGCTCTGCCCTTCCCCAAAGGTTTCTCTTTTCTCTGGTTTCAGAGTGTGTTCTCTGCCTCCATCTCCCTTCCCCATATAACTGAAAGAGCACTGGGCTTGGAGTCTGGAAACTCATGGCAAGAGGACACCAGCCATATGATTGCCCTGAATCAGAGACTCCAGGCCTCCCTTAGAGTTGTTCTGATGTTTCTAAGCGAAGATGTTCTTGGGAGGGTGTTTCTGGCACTAAGGCAGAATACTGATTGTCCTTGTCCCCAGGACTGCTGTGTGTGCTGCTGGGGCTGGCTATGGCAGTGGCCCACAGAATGCAGCCCCACAGGCTGAAGGCTTTCTTCAACCAGAGTGTGGAGGAGGACCACATGCTGAAGGGGAGCCCTGAGGAAGGGGGACTCCTGAGCCCCCACTACCGGTCCATGGCTGAGAGTCCTGAGCCTCAGGACATTCCTCTGTCAGAGGCTGCCTCCACCGAGGCATGCTCTAAGGAGGAGCACCCCGGAGAACCCGAGTGTGCTCTATAAGGTTTCCCTCCAGCAGCCACTTGGACTTCTAGTCTGGCTCCAGACCTTGTTGGAAGCCCATAAAACCAGAAGAACTGCCCTTGATGTGGGTTGTATCAGACCCCCAGCACCAATCTGTGGGCGAAGTAGAAAAAAAGAGTCTCTACCTACTGATGTTAAAAACCAAAGCGAAGCAAAAAGCCATATAGTACTGAAGAGATGTTGGACCTTCCCATAACCCCTGTTGCCCTGGTGAAACCCAGCAGGGGCTGCCCTATTTCCGTACAGCAAGCCTGCCTTTTCTTGGTGCTTTGCCTCTTCATAGTGCCAGTCACTGAAACCCAACTTCACCCACAGAACAGTTGTATGTGTGCGGGGGATTTACAGTGTGATTCTTATCTGGTCATTCTTGAGCTCTCACTTGACTTTTTCCTGGGTCCCCTTGTTCTCACTTACTTTCCCAGCTATGTGACCTCTTCATTATGGGACAATGAAAGACAGTACTGGAAGGGAGAAGAGGCCAAACTTCCCATCCCTGGTCAAACATTAACCAGCTATGCTACATTCTCTTTGAACTTCAGCTCCCAGATTTGCTAAATAAGACTGTAGTACTTGCCAAGCATGCAAGAAAGAATCTCAGGATATAGATAAGCAGAGGGTGTCAAAAAATGTACACACATTTTAAGAAAGGAAAAAACTGTATTAACAGTGTCATACTCAATATGTACTGATAACAACAGATGAATACAAGTAATATTTGAATTCTGCAATTACAAGAGGTACTCAAAATGGTTACCAGACACTTCTGACTACAGCACACTACTATGTGAGCACCGTTGACCAAAGTGCACACTTGTACCACTGCACATGCCATTTCAATTTCTTTCTGAGGCACTGCCAGTGTAGCCAGTTTCCTACAGTTCACCACATCCTTTAAGGTCCCCCATAAGTATAAGTCAAGGGGTGTTAAGTCAGGACAAAGTGGGGGAAACTCAACCACACCTCTTTGTCCTATCCCTGTGCACATCACACACAGTACCATGCAGCTCCAGCTTATCTGAATGCACACAGTTGTTAGGCGAGTTGGAGGTTCTGTTGCTCACTCTATTGTACTTCTTAAATTTTAAATATCACTTCAAAATGGTCTTGGGCTTCTTGAAGGACAACCAGCCTTCTGCCGTTTTCTTCGACTGTCCTACCTGTTACATGGTGATGCTAGCATTCATTTTGATTTGTGCTGTATTTTGAACAAATGCCATACTACACATTGCTACCATAATTCAATTCAACTTCAAAAGTAATATGTAGATAACATCTCTTAAAATATGTATATAGTTTTTGGCATCCTGTATATGTGTGTGTGTGTGTGTGTGTGTGTGTGTGTGTGTGTTTTGAGATGGAATCTCACTCTGTTGCCCCAGGCTAGAGTGCTGTAGCCTCAGGCTAGCTCACCAAAACCTCAAACTCCTGGGCTCAAGGGATCCTCCCATCTCAGCCTCCTCAGTAGCTGGGACTACAGGTGCCATACCACACCCAGCTAATTTTTCTATTTTTTGTAGCAATGGGGTCTCACTCTTGCTCAGGCTGATCTCAAACTCCTGACCTCAAGCATCCTCCCTCCTTGGCCTCTCAGAGTGCTAGGATTACAGGTGTCAGACACCCAGCAGGGCCTCAGGACTTATATCTTTATGCCATTTTTATGCCTTACTGACTTCTACCTTGGTGCTCAGGCACCATCCAAAAAGAAGCTAGGTGGAAGGAATTAGTGAATCAATTCCTTGGTCCAAAACGCTGTTCCTTGCCATCCCACGCATCTAGGCCAGCAGATAGTTGATTGGGTGGGAGTCTGACCTGCCAGGTCACTGCAACCTACCATCCATCCGGGAGGCTAAGGAAGCGGGCTCTGGCCGGTTTCCCTCAGGTCTCACTAGAGGGCGTCCCTCCCCCGGAGCCTTCCCTGGGTTATTCAAGATTCTGGTTGTTGGCAGCACTGCAGGCTATCTCCACCCCGGAAAGCCTTTTGAGGGCGTGCGTCCACAAGAGATCGGAGAAGCCAAGAAAATTAGTGAAAAAAGTTTTGTTTTTTTTTTTAAAAAAGATAAAACTCTTCATTTACATACAGCTCATCCCAGGAGACGTTCCCTGGTGGCTGCAGCACGTGGAAGGCTGCCTCACTTCTGGGGCGGGGGGTGCGCAGAGCAGTGACATCCCAGATCAGGTCAAGGACATTGTTTCCTGGCCTGTGGGGTGCCACGGAAGGAGTTCAGAGTTGGGTCCCCTTCACAGCTTAGTGGTGAGCTTTAAGTCCGAAACCCCCAACTGCTTGAACAGAGGGTTCGTTAGGATGAGAGGTGAGCCCTCTGTTCCGTGGCTACTGCTGTCCTCACTTTGGTCCAGAAAAATGCGAAGAGCGCGGGGTCGAGTGTAGTGGAGACTCACCACGGCCCCACCGAGGAGGAGGCACAAGATGCCTGCGTCAGCATCCACGGGAAAAAGAAAACAGAGGAGGGGGGAGTCAGGGCACCAGGCCAGAACCGGGCCTGCCCTGCTCCACCTTGTGATGCCTGCCCCTCTCAGATTGCATGATACACGGGTTCCGTGCTACCTGGAGCAAGATAACAAACCCTTCTGAAACACCCCCCCCCCTATTTTTTAGAGACAGAGTTTCACTTTGTTGCCCTCAGTAGAGTGCTGTGGAGTCACAGCTCACAGTAACCTCTAGCTCTTGGGCTTAGGCGATTCTCTTGCCTCAGCCTCCTGAGGAGCTGGGACTAGGGGCGCCCGCCACAACGCCCGGCTATTTTTTGTTGCAGTTTGTCCAAGGCCAGGTTTGAACCGGCTACCCTCGCTATAAGGGGCCGGCGCCCTACTCACTGAGCCATAGGCGCCGCCCAACTGAAACCCCTCTTTTCATCTGTAAAATGGACATAACAATGCCTGTTACGTCTATGAACTCTTAAGGGGGTTAAGTTAGACAATAGTAGTGAACTCATTTTGTAAACTGGAAAGCACACACCCATTATACATCCCATCCCCTCTCCCAGCCTCCCTGGACTCATCCCCTGGGTCCTCACCCGTTGCCAGCGTGACCCAGAAAGCGGCTCCGTAATGAGCGGTGAGTGCAGAGGAGCCGAGGCGGAGTGGGCAGAGCTGCACGCTGGAGATGGAAGCGAAGGCAAAGACAGCAAACAGCGCGAAGGCGCCAGTGATCAGCAGCGCCAGGCCACCGTACAGCGGGGCTGGCGTGGAGAGCAGCACGTTGGACAGGAGCCAGAAGCAGAACGCCACCCTGCGGGAGTGGGAGGGGATCCACTAGTCAGGAGTAAATTCCCCCAGCCGGTCGGGGTTCCCGGAGCCTCGCTCCCCTATGTCCCCACTCCAGCGTGAAAGCCTGGGTCTGGGATGGTGGAGACACCCAAGTAATCCCCCAAGGGAGAAGCAGAGGGCGGTTGCTGGGTCTTTCCAGATTCGGACTGTCAATGCAGATCTCATGACTTTCTGACCCGAGAGGCTGTACTTCTTACCCCAGAGAGCATCGGGCTGTACTGCAGATCACCTGGGGGGGGGGCAACCTCCCTCTTCCATCCTCCTCCCCCAACCCCGCGCGCGCGCGCACACACACACACACACACACACACACCAAGCCTTCCCAACCCCCGCGCTTACCACAGCGTGGCCGAGGCATAGTGTCCCGCCAAGTGGTACTGGTGGTACAGCCCGCAAGGGCTGCTCGGTGTGAATTTTTCTGCCAGGTAGAGCACTGGGTCTGGCAGCCCCTTCTCCAGTGCACTCACGTACTCTGCGGTGTAGTCCTCGTCCAGACGCCAGGTGAACTGCTCGTTGTAGTCAATGGTCTCGTTCAGCTGTTGAACTGGGGTCCCTGCCGGGAATAGCCGAGTTATCGGGCTGCTTCCGGCCAAGGACCTCAAAAGTAAGCAGACCCATATAGCAAAGCTAGAGTGTGGCACCCACCCATGGCGAGAGAAATGGGCTTGGTGGTGGTTGGAGAAAACGCAAATCCATGAGGACCAAAAGCTACTTGGGCCTGTAGGATGTGAGAGATCCCCCCCTAACCTATGGGACTTCCCAGACCCCAGGACATCACTGCCCCAGCCCCCTCACCTGTGAGTGTAATATTAACGCCTTCCAGACCCACTTGCAGACCAACATGGGCTCGAACGCGCTCAGCACTGAAGGCTTTGTAGGATGTGGTGGTGTACACTGTGCCCACGAACCATTCTGTGCTGAAATGCACCGCTGTAGGAAAAGGTACACAGTGGCAATGGGGTGGGAAGATGGGATTAGAGAGAGGTGATAGGGGGTGGGACACTATGTAGAGGCATGGGAATCTAGAGGTCCAATGTGCTTGCATGGTAAGGACTGAAAAGGGGGGAGTAGAAAGAGCTGGAGAGTGGAAAGGGGAAGCAGGAAACCCACCCCAGTTCCCTATTTTTCCAGGTGCCCCCTACCCACATCCATTCTCACCACATGGGCTGCACCACACACTCACCCACAATTTCTGCGCCTATGAACAGACTGAGAAGAACTCTCACCAACCAGAACCAGCGCTGCAGGAACAAGCACCCAGGTCAGGAGTCCCCAACATCTTCCTTGACCCTACTTCACCTCTGATCTTTTGTCACATTCCTGACCTTTGAGGTTGATGTCAGGCATGCTTTTCTTGCAGTCCTTCTGGGCTACTGGCATTTCTGATGTTTTCTGGCCATGTACTTCCCTCTCCCCACCCCTATTTCCCTGTCTACCCTACAGCCCCTGGTGCCTCTGCCTGGCACTCTCTGGCCTCCTTCACTCCCTCAGTTGTCTGGCACCTGGTCCTGGTTCCACCTCCTAATCAAGTCACTGTTTGGTGAGGCTTAGTGATTCCAGAAGTGCTAGGCAGACAGGGGTCACCTCCCTCAGAAGAGGGAGGCCCCAGGGCCTGGTCACTAAGTGGAGGGAATGAGAATGCAGGTACTTCTAGGTGCACCAGTTCCCAGAGGAATCAACATAGATCAAGATGTAAAGAAGCTGAGTCCTCCCAGACATGACAAATGCACAACTTAGTTTCTAGGGGAGGGGGAAAGTCTAAAGAAATGCACCCAGTCTGCTACAACTTCAAATGCGGTGTGAGATTCTCTGAGTCCTTAGGATGGGACACCTGTACACATGTGTCTCACTCAGCACAGGGGGAAACACAGCAGTCTCAGCTGCTGACATCTGTCCTCTTGACCCGATGCTCTCACCATCAGCCAGAGGACTCAGTGAGAGTCAGCTACAGTCTGGGGAGATGTGGGAGGCCCTGGCAGCAAATGAATCTTAGAATCAGTCCTAGAATTACTGGGCTGGGTACCTACTCTCTGCAGCAGCCTTCTAAGTGACCCGGCTTAGGTCCTCCAGTAAGTCTTGCACCAGGAGCCTTCCCTGTCCTTAAGGAGGTGCTTGCAGCACCAAAGTCCTGAATTTGCGCTGAGCCTCAGTTTGACTATTCATGGAGACCCTGTGCACACAGTCTTACTTGTCCTGTGTCACTCACGACAAGCTACCCAGGAGGCCTCCCACCCTCTAACCAAAGCAATGAGGACCCCCCTTACCGAGTGGCCACGGATTCCCGGCAAGATAAGCAGAAAGCTGGCCGCCAAGGCCAAGAACACCAGAATGACGATAAGCAGCGGGACGCAGAAGCCCGCAGCATGCCGGGGCTGAGGGTAAAAAGGCAGCACGCCATTCCACAGGGTCATGCTGCAAGCTGGTGAGAGCAGCACCAAGGTGGGTGAGCAGGCGAGCAGGGGCTGCCTGGAGGCAGGAGAGCGAGTCTTTGGTGTCTCTTTGCTTCAAGACCCCTGCCAAGTGGGTTTCAAGGAAGCACAGCGGGTTGGCCCCGACAGAGCTGGGTTAACCAGAAAGCGGAATTATTTCTCACTGGCTGTGGCCAGTTACTTTTCCAGCTTTGCTGACTGTCGCTGCATTGGAAGTTGGGCGGAACCCGGACTCCTTTTATAGGGGTGTAGGGAGCTTGCTGCATGGAAGTCCCAGCCCAGCAGCGGTGTAGGAGAAGGAAGAAGTCATGCAAATAAGGGGCGGAGGACACTGCAAATAAGAGCCCCGCCTTCACATCAGGAGGGTGAGCACCGGGCCCAGATGCTCACACTTGACGCGGGTCTGTCACCAGCGGACTCCCCTGCAGCAGTGAGACTGAGAACCCAGAGGAGGGTGAGAGTGCGGCCAGGGAGGCTGAGGATCGGGAAATGGGAAGTGAGTGGGAGCCTGAAGTAGAGCCTAGAAGCAAAGATTTTAAGAGGAAAGAAGACGTCTGAGTTCAATGGATGAAAGTCCTAACACAGAGGGTTGTATCGGAGTTTAGGGCCCGTCAGGCTTGGGCATTCATTACCCGGGAGGGAGCTGGTTTAAGGGAGGACTGTGGGTCCCAGGCTCCCAGCTCAGTAGCCTCTGTCCCTTCCCTTCCTCCTCTAGGAGAAACAGTGACTGAGAGATTTGAGGGTGAGGGCTTTGAGATTTGAGGGTGAAGCACTAAGCTAGCTCTGGGAGGCTGGACCAGTCCTGCCTGGGACTGACATGCCCCGGAAGTCTTGTGCCCAGTGGGTTCCTGTGGTCAGGGTTAGCTTTCTGATGGGTGGAGGATGGGGAACAGTGTCAATGCCACTAGAGCTGCCAGTTGTCCTGGAAGAATGGCGTGGTCCTAGGTGAGGTGATGCTTCTTTCTAACAGCACTGCTTCAGAAGTGAAAAATAGCTGGTGCTCTTCCTCCAGTGCCAGCTGTAGGGGTGTATATGGCGAGAGGCACGTGTGTTCTGTGCCCCTCACATACCACCTTCCGTCGCCCACGCTGCAAGGTCAGCATGTTCCGCTCAAGACTAGAGGCACTGGTGCTCCTGGGAGCTCTGCTGACTGGATCCCTGGTTCCAGTGGGTAAGTGTCAGGCTCCCCTAGTTACGGGGTGTCACCCAATATACCCTGGGAGTAGGGGAAGGGAGAGGTGTAGGCAGCGGCTCCCTAAGGCTAGAAGGTCGGGTCAGGATGGGAAGTTCAGCAAAGTTCGGCAGGTTGGGAAACGTCCTGCGCGCCCGCCACACGGCGCAAAAAGTTGCCCCTTGTGTCCGGTTGGGGGCGCTCCGCGAGCAGGGGAAGGGCCGGATGAGGCCCTCAGGTCCCCAGGAGTCGCTGGGAGGCTGGTGCTGAGGGAGCTCTCTGTGCCCACAGGTGGTGAGGACACGCTCTCACTGCCCTGGGAAGTGCAGCGCTATGACGGCTGGTTCAACAACCTGAGGCACCACGAGCGTGGCGCTGCAGGTGCGTCCTGGGGCCAGGGTAGGGGGAGGCCTCAGCTTGCAAAGGGAGTCTGGCCGGGGGACCCAGGGGAACCTGAGACCAGCAAGCCGGCTTCCTAAGCAGCGTGATCTTAACGCACATCAGGGGCTAAGAGACCCTTGGGAGAAAGACTTCTGTCAGTGAAGGTGGGGGGTTTGAGGGAGGAGCTGGGTGAGGTTTGGGGGCTTCCCGGGGATGGAGTGTTCTAAGTCCTGCTCTCTGCCACCCGCAGGCAGCCGGCTGCAGCGCCTTGTACCAGCCAATTACGCTGATGGAGTGTATCAGGCTCTGGAGGAGCCGCTGCTCCCCAACCCGCGCAGTCTCAGCAACGCCACCACGAAGGGTGAAGCAGGGCTGGCATCGCTCCACAACCGCACCGTGCTGGGGGTCTTCTTTGGTGAGAACAAAAGGGGAGATGGGGGCGGGCTTGTTTAGCAGCTGAGAAATGGGCCCCGAGGCCCTCCTGCAAGTCCACAGGAGATCTATCTGAGATTCCCAGCCTCTTCCTGCCGGCTAAGCGGCACTTCAAGCCTGCTTTTATTTCAGAGGAATTTGGGGTATCTGGACAGGGGTATTTGCTCCCTTAATATATCTCGTATACCTCACCCCAAACCCAGGAGTGCCACTGGAACCCTATTATAGCTCTTGGGAACTGAGTGCCCGGTGCCACCGCTCTGACCCTGTAACCACCATCCCCTGAAGAGGGAGGAGGACTGGTTTGGAGGGCCTTCACATAAATTATATCGTTTGATTCTCATAATAACACTTTGAATTAGGTGGAAAGGGTACTGTATTCTCATTTTGCGTGATAGAAAACTGAAGCTAAGCCACAGTGCTTAGCTTGACTAAGATCGGATCCCAGCGGTGGAATGTATTTTGGTTCCCGAGAACGCTTGGGGGGTCGCCTGGACTGTAGAGAGAGCGTGACGCAGAGCATTTGCTCACCTTTTTGCGCCCCACACTTGCTCCCAGGCTACCACGTGCTCTCGGACCTGGTGAGTGTGGAGACGCCCGGCTGCCCCGCCGAGTTCCTCAACATCCGCATCCCACCCGGGGACCCTGTGTTTGATCCCGACCAGCGCGGGGACGTGGTGCTGCCTTTCCAGAGGAGCCGCTGGGACCCCGAGACCGGACGGAGCCCCAGCAACCCGCGGGACCTGGTGAGGGGTGACCAGTGGCGGGAGGGGGGCGGGACCCCGGGCAGGTGCGGCCCTGGGCTCCCGTCTTCACTCACCTGCCTCCGCTTCCCGATCCCCTGCTCACCCGCTTCGTGGCCCCGCAGACCAACGAGGTGACGGGCTGGCTGGACGGCAGCTCCATCTATGGCTCTTCGCATTCCTGGAGCGACGCGCTGCGGAGCTTCTCCAAGGGACAGCTGGCATCGGGGCTCGATCCCGCCTTCCCTCGAGACTCGCAGAACTCCCTGCTCATGTGGGCCGCGCCCGATCCCGCCACCGGGCAGCGCGGACCCCAGGGGCTGTACGGTGAGGCCGCGGGGCCGGCGTGTGGGGGGCGCGGGGCTCTGGCTGGGGCTCTGCGCCTTTGGGTTCCCTTGGTCACGCCGCTGCTCTCATGTCCTGCTCTCATCTCCTGCCTTGTGTCCCCACGCCGCCGTGTGCAGCCTTCGGGGCCGAGAAAGGGAACCGGGACCCCTTCCTGCAGGCGCTGGGCCTGCTCTGGTTCCGCTACCACAACCTGTGGGCTCAGAGACTGGCCAGCGAGCACCCAGACTGGAGGGACGAGGAGCTCTTCCAGCACGCGCGCAAGAGGGTCATCGCCACCTACCAGGTCAGCAGGACCGCACCCCTGAGACTCCTGTAGATCCACGGGAGGGGAGACTCCGTTCCCCCGCAGAGCTGCCCATCCTTGGACAATCTCCACCCAGAAAGCTCTCCCCAGGGAGCTAAGGACTAGGAAATGGCCCTCTAAAGGACAAGGAGGCAAAGGCTGTTTTCTGGAGAGATTTTGCTTGTGATTATTATTTAGCGCCTGCCCCTACCCCAAATCCCCTGGTTCCTAGTAAGGACCGGCCTCACACCACTCCTGTTTGAACCCCCTGCCTGGTCCTCACCTCTGCACCTGAGTCTTCCTTGGGCTCAGATTCCTACAGGCCCTGCCAGGTCCAACTTAGGCCTCTCCCTGTCCTCTCTCTGACCCTCAGAACATTGCTCTGTATGAGTGGCTGCCCAGCTTCCTGCAGAAAACACCCCCGGAGTACACAGGTCAGGGGGTGGAGAGGGGGGATGGGAGGCTTGCAGGAGGGTTTGCAGGGGTAGGTAGCCTGGGTGGTTTGAAGGCTAAATTCTTCTATCCTGTCTGGTCCCCTTTTCCCAGGATACAAGCCATTTCTGGACCCCAGCATCTCCCCTGAGTTTGTGGTGGCCTCTGAGCAGTTCCTCTCCACCATGGTGCCCCCTGGCGTTTACATGAGGTGGGGGGGAGTGTTGTGGTGGGAGGGGCACAGCACAGGGGCAGAAGTGTAGAATGACCCCCCCCCCAAGGGCATGGGCCTTTTTATACACCTCCAGTTTTATTGAGGAAGGGAAGCAGAATTTGCCTCAAACTATGATTCTGGGGTAAGAGGTTTGGTGTTAGCAGGGAAATCTTCCCCACTTTCCTGATAGTTGAACTTTGGTTGCTGAGTGTAAGATGTGTCCAGGAGTTGGGTCATCTTCTTCCCTCCTTCCCTCCTCACCTATGTAGACTAAGAGGTCACTCTATCTTCAGTAAACACACATTGCCAAATCTCTGCTATGTCCAAGTTCATGGGCTACTCAATCCTACTCATCCCCACTGAGTCCTTTACCGTACTTAACCTCGTCTTAGTTTCTTCTCTAAATTCCCTCACCACATCCTTGTTTCTCCATTTCAGAAATGCCAGCTGTCATTTCCAGAAGGTCTTGAACAGAAATTTTGGCAGCTCCCCAGCTTTCAGGGTCTGCAACAGCTACTGGATTCGGGAGGTCAGACTGGGGTCAGGGTCAGGGAAGACAGGCAAGATCAGGGGAAGATAGGCAAGGTCAATCTCTTCACATAGGCGGGAGAAAGTAAGCTGGTTGTTGGGTATTCCTGGTCTGGGATGGGAGATGAAGTATTGAGAAAATCATCTAGAGACAACAGCTCAAGAAAGCCTGGCCCTGGCTTTGTCCTGAGGTGTTATAGTGGTCCAGGCTGAGAGGGATTGATTTCTGGGTAGGGGAACTAGAGCTTATATTGAGTATATTGTTTACTTCCAGAACCCCAATCTGAACAGTACCGAGGCGGTGAGTCAGCTGCTGCTGGGAATGGCCTCTCAGATTTCAGAGCTGGAAGATAGGATAGTGGTTGAAGATCTGAGGGGTAAGTTCAAAGCTAGAAGGCAGGGAGGGCCAGAAAGCCAAGGAACCCAGGAATCCTTCTAGCTTAGTCAACTAGCAGACTTGGAGTACTCAAGATTCAGGAACAAAGATATACACTTAAACTTAAAATAGCCATTAGAAGAAAATATTTTTTTCTTTTTCCTCAACTTACAATTTTGTGTTACTTTTATTTTAAATTAACTATGTCTGAGTATAGGTGTGTGGCACCATAATCTCTCTGGTACTAAATTAGGTTCTAAAGTTCTTCATCCAGCCCCATCTTAAAGTTAGGAAAACAGGATAGGGAGTTTGCTGCTTGGTGACTAGAACAATCTTGAGTCTTGAGTCTTAGAGGAAGGATTTTACCAAAAAAAAACTGCCCCTGAATGCACATGGTGACATTGGCTCCACACCCGGACAAGGTCAATATGGGTGCAGGTCTGATATAGAGGAGTGCTGGGCTATAGTGCCCACAGCTGGATGCAAGGCTGCAGGACAAAGAAGGGTTGGGAGGACTGAGCCCATAGTCTGGTCTTCTCTCCTCCTCAGATTACTGGCCTGGCCCTGGCAAGTTCTCCCGCACAGACTACATAGCCAGCAGCATCCAACGTGGCCGAGACATGGGGCTGCCCAGCTACAGCCAGGCCCTGCTGGCCTTGGGGCTAGAGACCCCAAAGAACTGGAGTGACCTCAACCCTAATGTGGACCCCCAGGTCAGGAATGATTATAATGGCAGCCAAAGCTTTTCTGTGGTAATAGTGCTCCAAATCCTTTGCATATGTTAGCTTAATCTACATCATGTTATAAGGTAGATACTATCATTGTCTCCATTTTACTTATGAGACAGTTGGTAAATTGTGGAGGCAAGATTTAAATTCAGCCATCTGACTCCAGAGTAATTTCCTAACCACTACATTATACTTCAGGGTGGCACCTGGGTTGGGTGCCATTGTCCTGTTCCTGCAGGGTCCCACTCCAAGGGTTGGGTGCCCCTGAAGCTGCTACTCATAGAGACCAGGCAGTCTGAATAGCAATGGTTACAAGATATAGTCCTCAGGTGCCTGACAGTGGTCTCACCATAGGTAGGGATGCACTGATCCTTCCACAGACTTTTCACTCCCCTGAGGGGGGGCTGCTTAGGAAGAGGAGACCAGGCTTGAGCAACAAGCCAGGCAGCTGCTGGGATCCTGTGTTTGAGGGATGGGGCAGCGGTGGCTGGTCTTGTCTTCCCCAACCCCCACACACTCTCACTCCTTACTTCCTGTGGTGTCCCAGGTGCTGGAGGTCACAGCAGCCTTGTATGACCAGGACCTGTCTCGGCTAGAGCTGCTTCTGGGGGGCCTCCTAGAGAGCCATGGGGATCCTGGACCCCTGTTCAGCACCATCGTCCTCAATCAGTTTGTGCGGTTGCGGGATGGTGACCGTTACTGGTTTGAGAACACCAGGAATGGGTGAGGCTGCCTGGACCCCCCAATCCCCATCTCAGACTCCACCTCAGCCTGGGCCCGGACCCTCAGCCTAGCCTTAGACCCCAGGAGATTGTCAGCCCATCTCACTATCCTTCCCCAGCACCCCTGGGTCTCTTTTCTCATCTGAGTCCTTGGGCCTAGGGTTGCTGGCGGCCTGAATCCCTTTCCCATCCCAACATCTACTTCCTCAACTTAGGCTGTTCTCCAAGGAGGAGATTGCAGAAATCAGAAACACCACCCTGCGGGATGTACTGGTAAATGTCACCGAAGTTGACCCCAGTGCCCTGCAGCCCAATGTCTTTTTCTGGCATGAAGGTGAGTGGTCTAGAAGAACACAAGTGACAGTGGCCAGAAAAGGAAATCACTGTGTTGTCCAGGGAGCCAGGCACCTTCTGTGTCAGGCAGGGAGGTGTTGGGCTGGTTCCCACAGTAGGGATTCAACTAGCATCCAGGCTGCACCCTGTGTTCAAGCTAAGTTACAGGGGCGGGAGCCTGGGGAGGAAGGAGAATACCTTGGTCCTTCACAGGACAGAAGGGAAGGAGGCCTGGCCAAGGAGTGAGATCTTCAGACTTTGAGGTCTTCTGTATACCCTCCTTAGGTGCACCCTGCCCTCAGCCCCAGCAGCTCACAACTGAAGGCTTGCCCCCCTGTGTGCCCCTTACTGTGCTCGACTTCTTCGAGGGTAGTGGCCCTGGCTTTGGCATCACCATCGTGGCCCTCTGCTGCCTTCCATTAGGTGAGCTCTTCACCCCTGCCCTGTCTCTCTTCTTCGGTCTCCAGACTGGCCTTACCTGTTGGCCTACAGGGCTAGCTCCCTCCTGCAGTTTGAGGCCAGGCACAGGGAGCCTTGTGAAGGGAGAGGGCAGCACCCTGGGCCTCAGTGAGGCTGTGGGTGAGGGGCTCCCTCCCCACCAGCTGCCTCTGATCCCTTTCAGTGAGTCTGCTTTTCTCTGGGGTGGTGGCTTATCTCCGAGGGAAAGAGCGCAAGAAACTACAAAGGAAAGGCAAAGAGAGTATGAAGAAGGAAGCAGCCAAAGAGGGAGTGCCCGGTGAGGTGGGGCTGGAAGGAGGGTGGGAGAAAGGGACACTGGGGAGCCTGGGAGAAGGGACCAAGTTACAGAGTGGGGAGAAAGGCTTCTGGGTGCCTGCTCAGACAGAGTGGAACTAGCCTGAGGGCGAGGGCCTGGGGACTTCCACTGAACCACTCTGCCCAATCTTCTCTTCCCCAGCGATGGAGTGGCCAGGCCCCAAGGAGAGGAGCTATCCCATCACCATCCAGCTGCTCCCAGACAGGCTGCAGGTCCTGGACAGGCAACTCACTGTGCTCCGCACAGTCCAGCTGCAGCCCCCACAGCAGGTCAACCTCATCCTGTCCAGCAACCGAGGCTGCCGCACACTGCTGCTCAAGATCCCCAAGGAGTATGACCTGGTGCGGCTTACCCTGCCTCCCCTGCCTGGACTTCCCCCAGCACCTCCCCTCTCACAAATGAGGGCCACCCTGCCCTCAGCTGCACAGCTCACCTATGAAGGCCCCCAGAGTCACCCTGAACCCCTCAGGCTACCACCTGGCCCCAGCCTAGAAGCATGGGGTGTGGGTGAAGGACCTTCTCCTTTCCTCAACCCAAAGCCCTTTGAGGGGAGGTTTAACAGAATCCTGAGCTCTGAGGAGCTGAGCTGTGAGGGCACCATCCTCCCACCCAGGTGCTGTTGTTTAACTCTGAAGAGGAGCGGGGTACCTTTGTGCGACAACTGCAGGACTTGTGTTCATACTGTGAGCTGAGCCTCCATGTGGCTGAGATGGGTGAGAGGGAGCTATTCAGGAAGGCTGTGACCAAGCAGCAGCGGGGACGCATCCTGGAGATCTTCTTCAGACACCTTTTTGCTCAGGTGCCATAACCTGTGCCTTTTAAAGATGGGCCTGGTCCAGGGGGTGGAAGAAACTGGGGCAGAAAGAACTCCACGTGGGTGCACTTAAGCTTTTACTCTATGGTCTGGAGACAGTCTTGCTTCAGTCTTGGCTTTGCCACTTAGCTGCATGACCTTGGGCAAATCACATCATCTTTGCTTTGTATCTTTGTTTTCTTATCTATAAAACAGTGATTCCAATTGTATCCATCCTAATACATTGTCCTGAGGGTTCAGTGAGATAGTCTGCAAGAGTGGTTCTTAAAGGTTGGCCCCTAGACCCACAGCATTGGCCTCAACTGGGAACTTGTTAGAAATACAGGAGAATCTCAGTAGTTGATCAAATCCCTACACTGACCACCTCCTTCAGTTGACCTAATTTCCATAGACCGGATATGCAACACATGTACATACTGGTAACAACAGTAGGCCTGGTTCCTGATGTAGACCACCTCTGTATGTTGACTAGTTTGTTGTAGTCCTTTGGGTGGTCTACTTACAGAAGTTCTACTTTATAAATTCTAGGCTCTTCCCCACGCAGACTAAATCAGGAACTCCGGGTAGGGCCCAACCATCTGTGTTTTAACAAAACCTCCAGGTGATTCTCATGCACTCTAACGTTTGAAGAATAGTACAGTGCTTAGGCCAGTGGTTCTCAACCTTCCTAATGCTGTGGCCCTTTAATACAGTTTCTGTGGGTCATGACCCACAGGTTGAGAACCGCTGGCTTAGGCCAAGCGTTCTGTACATTGTAGGCATTTAACAAATGATAGTTACATGTGACTTTTAAACTCTCTGCAGAGTGGCAGAGACCAAATCACAGGCACATGGCAGCCCCACCTGAACTGGCAAAGAGCACAGCCCTAGCCCTTTCTGTCCACTGTGTCTTTCACATCTTCTGTTTCCAGTATAAGTTCTCTCACTTTGTATTTCCCAACTTTGCCCCTTTCCCTGCTCTCCCCTTTCCCACTCCAGCACTATCCCCCGCTACATAAACTCTTGGTTCTGTGGGTCAAGGGAGAAATGGCCTGACTACTAGAAATTCTGTTCAGCCCTTCTGCAGGAGAATAGAGGCCCCCATCAGTATATCTAGTGATCTGGAGCAGCTACCAGGGCTCAATCTTTCTGATTTAGATTTTGGGAAGGTGTGAAGGGTCACTGAACTGTTTCCAGCCCAGGTCTTACTTCCTTTTCTTCCTCTTTCTGCTATTGCCCAAATGTAGGTGCTGGATATCAACCAGGAGGATGCAGGGGCCCTGCCCTTGGACTCATCCCAGAACGTGCGGGAGGCTCTCACATGTGAGCTGAGTAGAGCTGAGTTTGCTGAGTCCCTGGGCCTTAAGCCCCAGGACATGTTTGTGGAGTCCATGTTCTCTCTGGCTGACAAGGATGGCAATGGCTACTTGTCCTTCCGGGAGTTCCTGGACATCCTGGTGATCTTCATGAAAGGTAGGGGGTTGGGAGGTGGTGGGCTATCAAGGAGCCAGGGGTCTTTTGGCAGGAAAGTGACCTGCATCCCCTTCTTCTTCCTAGGCTCCCCAGAAGATAAGTCCCGCCTAATGTTTACCATGTATGACCTGGATGAGAATGGCTTCCTTTCCAAGGATGAATTTTTCACCATGATGCGGTATGGGGTGGGCCCTGTCATTCCTGAGATGTCCTGATGTTTTAAACAAGAAAACAGGTCAGGTCAGCAGAGGGTTGGTAAGGAGGTTGGCTGGCCATCTATATTGAGAGGAGACTTAGACAGTGCATCCAGCCTCGAAGTTTACCTTCCCAGCACTTTCAGCACTTTCAGCACCAGCCAGAAAAAAGTCTTCCAAGTTAAAAAAAAAAATTATGTATATAACAAATAAACAAAAACCCCAACACCAATACAACCAACAACAAAAGTCCACTAATCCCTTTTGGATGCCTTTGGACCTTCGTAAACCCTCTCACAGCATGCCTAGCCCAACACCATGCTTTCACAAAGAAATAATGGATGTATGACCTTGGTTGCTCTTCTAATCTTCATCACTATGGCAGGAGGAGAAACACGGAGAGTTTCTCTATATTCCAACCCTTCCATCATCTTGCTTCTTTTTTTTTTTTTAATTTCATGTTAATGTGAGGGTACATCTAGGTTATGATGTTTGCATTTGTTAGGTAGAGTCCCTCTCATAGGTGTGTCATATACCCTTGCATTATGCCCGTTAAGTGGAAGCACACTAATCCCCCTCCATATTCCCCTCTAGCTCCTTCCTTATTTTTCCTCTCCTCAACTTGAATAGAATTGAGTTTTTCTCTTATGTGGGCATGTATTAATTAGATCATCTACTGGCTTCATATTAGTATTGAGTAGATTGGATATTTGCTTTTCCATTCTTGTGATACTTTACTAAAAAGAATGTGTTTCAATTCCATCCAGGTTAATACAAAAGATGCAAAGTCTCTGTCTTTTTTATGGCTGAGTAGTATTCCATGGTATACATATACCACAGTTTGTTAATCCATTCCTGGGTTGGTGGGCATTTAGATTGTTTCTACATCTTGGTGATTGTAAAGGTCATCTTGCTTCTTAAGACATTAATGGTTTGACATGCCAAAAAATGCCAGCTTTGAGCATCATAGATTTCTCATTCCTGAATACAATGCTTCAGTAACACAGCCCCCTTTCACGCCATAAGGCAAGGTTCATGTCTCTCTTTGTTCTTTGTTGAATCCACCTCCTCTGCACTGTGAATGGCACATAGCAGGCATTCGACACATAGCTAACTGAATAAGACAAGATGAAATGGATGAGCAAATGAATACACAAAGTGAATAAATTAGCCTAGATTCATTTAACTTATCTCTTCCAATAAGCCTTTCCACCGTATTAGGTATACTGCTTAACTGTCATATCACTCTATAGTCTAAGTGGGCAAAGCTGATTGCAGTCTGTACCTGACTGGATGTGTCACTGTAGGCCTGGCCTTGGGGCTAGGGGACTCTAGAGAATCTAGGAGAGGGTCCATGCCACCAAGGGCTGAGCTCCAGCTTCACATTCTGTAACTCAGTGTGGATCTTGCTCAGTCTTGGGATGTCATTTTCAATGTGATGGCTGTGCTGGCTCTGCCATGTGAGCCCAGGTCTTTTTCTGCTGGCCTTACACAGACTTGTATGGTTAGTTTATTTTTGTTCCAAACCACAGCCTAAGAAAAGAGTTTAGGGCAGCACCTGTGGCTCAAGGAATAGGGTGCTGGCCCTATATACCGGAGGTGGTAGGTTCAAGCCCAGCCTCAGCCAAAAACTGCAACAACAACAAAAAAAAAAAAAAAAGAAAGAAAGAAAGAAAAGAGTTTAGCCACAGTAGCTGCTACTGTAGGTGCCATCAGATTGGGTGTGGAGACACTCCTGCCTGTGCCCCAGGGTGTTGGCACAAGGAAGCAACAGTGCTGCAGCTACACCCCTCCCTGTTGTCTGGTGCCTCCACCAGACTTGAAAGTGGGACCCAAGGGGTGGTGTGGGAGGCCTCAACAGAAGAGAGGAGGCAGACAGCCTGCCACAAGAGAGAGCCATGGCACACCCAGCACATATCCCGGCACTAAGCAGACATTCCTCCAGTTGCAGATGCCCCCCTGTTTGAGGGTTGCTTTCTCTAATTGGTCAAGGTTACTTCCAGTTCTGTTCTGCCTTTTGAGCCTGCGGCCACCCCACCCAGCTTAGTGTCAGCTGCAGGCTGGATGAACACCTTCTCAGTGCCATTTCCTGGGTCACTGGTAACCACACTAGATAATCTGGGACCTGACCCACCCTGCACCTGCCCAAGCCTGACCTCACTGGGTGATGGGCTGCTCTGCCTCTGGTCTTCTCTCAGGTCCTTCATCGAGATCTCCAACAACTGCCTCTCCAAGGCCCAGCTGGCTGAGGTGGTGGAGTCCATGTTCCGGGAGTCAGGCTTCCAGGACAAGGAGGAGCTGACGTGGGAGGACTTCCACTTCATGCTGCGGGACCATGACAGCGAGCTCCGCAGCACACAGCTCTGCATCAAAGGTGGAGGTGTGTGAGTATGTAACGAATGATTGGAGTCAAAATGAGAGTTCCTGGTGAACAAGACCCAGGTCTTACTTACTCTTCTGAGTCCTTGGTGCTTGGTACAGAGCCAAGCATGTGTAATCAAGGGCAGCATGTACAGGTATGCAAGTTGTATACTGCACAAAGAGGACCACTGAGGCTAAGGAGCAGGCTGAACTTTAGCCTACCCACTGCTCAGAGCCATGGCCACTGGTCAGGAATGTATCTGGCCAAAAGGAGAGGCACTATTTTCTTTACACAAAGGACCTTCTGGGTTACATCTACACAGAGAGGTCCTCTTTTATAATTGCACAAAATTGCCAGATTGTCTGCGCTGGGTTCAGTAGGTACTTCTGTAGGGAGCGTGGGAACAGGGCGGGAACCAGAGATCTAGACATGTCCAGCTTTCCCAGAGGTGAGGGGGGGAGCCTCCCACCCCATTCCACTGCCCTGGTGGGAAAGCCAGCCCAGCCTCTTGTCCTCCCCTCCAGGTATTGGAGACATCTTTAAACAAAACATCAACTCTCGAGTCTCATTCATCACTCGGACTCCTAGAGAATGGTGAGTAGGAGTGGGGCGCTGTCAGGTCTCTTCTCTTTCTCTCCAGCACAGAAATGAAGGAAGATGTTTGCCCTTAGAAAGGAGCTCCTAGCCCATGTTCAGTCCTAGCCCAACTTTCACCACATGCTGCTCCAGAGCCTGGCTCTCTCCCTGCCACTGCAGGCCAGAATCACTCTATAGAACAGATGACCAAATCATATTCATTCATTCTGCCTTGCCCCCTGCCTGTTTGCAGGAGCCTACCCCCTGCCCCCACCCCAAGCTCTGATCTTGCAGTTCTTCTCCTGACTGCAAAGACAGGGAGGAGAACAGACCCCATTTTCTGTTCCTTAGCTCCTATTCCGAGGGAATAAGGCTCCCTGCCTCAGAAGCTCCTATGCTGAAGAAAAGGTTTGGCAAAAAGTGAGTGTTTTCCAGGTTCCTGGGCCCAAGAAGACATGAGAGAAATCTCCTTGACTTATAAAGAACCATCCTGAGCCTCATTCTATTTGTTCCTGACCCAACTAGGGGGTCATAATGTTGAATGAATTTCATCCTCTCTCCACCTTTGCACCCCATTCTCCAGGCAAGGGACCTGGCTCAGAAGTAACATCAGGATGGTAGTAAGGGGTCCCCTGGCTCCTGCCTGCTTTGGCCACAGCAGTGAGGCCTGTGCAGGGAGCAGGAAGAGGGAAGGACAGAAAAAAATACAAGGAGGAGGTGGAGAAGGAGAGAAAGGAGGGGCTGGGTAGAGCAAATAAAGATGGTGGTAAAAGGGTTGAAGGGATGTGGGGCCTCCCTTGGAGGGCCCCCCGCCCAATTGCTTTCTTCCCTACATCAATTATGGTCCACCCTGGACCCTGACAGATCACCATGCTGCCTTTTATGGACTGGCATTTAGGGAAGGCCTTCCCTTCCTGCAGGGTGGTGGTGCCCTCCTCCCGGCTGTACACTGAGGCACTGCAGGAGAAGATGCAGCGAGGCCTCCTGGCCCGGAAGCTGCAGCAGTTCAAGCGCTTCGTGGAGAACTACCGGAGGCACATCATGTGTGTGGCCATCTTCTCAGCCATCTGTGTTGGCCTGTTTGCAGATCGTGCTTACTGTAAGACATCCAGGTTGTAGGCAGTGGGCAGGGAGTGGGCCCTGACCCCCAGGAAGAAATGGAGAGCCCTCTGGTTGCTCTTCCTGGTCCTCAACACCTGACACGGGTTCAGTACCCTGACCTACTATGCCAAGCTGATCTACCCCCACTCCCACACCAGACTATGCCTTTGCCTCGCCGCCCTCGGACATTGCAGAGACCACCTATGTGGGCATCATCCTGTCGCGGGGCACAGCAGCCTCTGTCTCCTTCATGTTCTCCTACATCCTGCTCACCATGTGCCGCAACCTGATCACCTTCCTGCGAGAGACCTTCCTCAACCGCTATGTGCCCTTTGACGCCGCCGTGGACTTCCACCGCTGGATCGCCATGGCTGCTGTTGTCCTGGCCAGTACGTGGCTCCTGGGCAACCTCCCCTTTGCTGAACCCCCTGGGTCTAGCTCCTTAGGCTCTGACCCTTCCTTACACTCCCATCTCTCCTCCATGTGCCTCCTCTTTCCCTGGGGTCGGAGGTAGAGGTGGCTCTGGTTGGCATCACTAAGAAGGTCTCCTTCAGTTTTGCACAGTGCTGGTCATGTAGTCAATGTCTACATCTTCTCAGTCAGCCCCCTGAGCCTGCTGGCCTGCATATTCCCCAACGTCTTTGTGAATGATGGGTGAGTTCTGGGGAAGGTCTCCCTGGGATTCCTGGGGTGGGCCTAAGCGTATAATAGAAATGAAATAGATGGTATCGCTGCAGACACTTAGCCCATCACTGAGTGAAGGTGTAAAGCTTGTCCTCTTGGGGAAGCTGAAAAGTGACTTCCTTACCTTCAAGAAGAAAGCTGGCTGTGATTGTCCAGGAAAAGTGTTTGGGAGATGAAGTTAGAGACTCTGTCACACAACTTGCCATCTCAGCCTTTCATCTATTCACTGGGCATTTATGGCGCATGTTCCATGTGTCCATTCAGCTGCCAGCAAGTAGAGATGTCAAGATTCATGCAGTCAGTCAGTCAACAACTGTTTATTGATCATTTACTATGTGCCTGGTATTGTATTGTTCTAATGCTAGGGGTAGAACAGTGAACAAAATAAAAATCTCTGCCCACACAGAGCTTACAGAAAAATGAGCTAACCATTCAAGGAAGCAAGGGTCAACTGTAGCGACAGAGTTCGGGATAACACGGGAGGAAAAATTGCTGAGAGTGTGGAGGGTGAAACCAGGGAGGCTATGTGCCCTGTTCCTGGGAAAGGTTTTTGGCTGAGTAGAAGCCCAGTAAACTCAGCAGTCAGGGCCAGCTGGAATAGAGTCATACTGTGGATGACAGAGGCAGATCCCCTCCTGCCCCAGCCAGAGGCTCCATGTGCCTTTGCCCCACAGGTCCAAGCTTCCTTGGAAGTTCTATGTGTGGTTCTTTCAGACCGTCCCAGGTAGGGAGTGCGGCTATGTGTGGGATCTGGGGATTCTGTCTGAGGACTTCTGCTTTTGTCTCCATCCCTCCATGAGTACACACTTGTTATAGTGGCCTTGAGGTTCCCTTCAAGCCTGCAGGACAAACCCCAGCTCTAGCCCCTCAGACAAAGTATTCTGGGGCCCCCAGAGAGATGAGAGAGGAAGGAGGGCAGAACATGGGGTTTCTCTGTTATATTTTCAGCCCAGGTTGAAGTCCCGAGACTACTTGCTGACCCTGTCCTCCTGCCCACAGGCATGACAGGAGTGCTGCTGCTCTTGGTCCTGGCCATCATGTATGTCTTTGCCTCCCACCACTTCCGCCGCCGTAGCTTCCGGGGCTTCTGGCTGACCCACCACCTCTACATCCTGCTCTATGCTCTGGTGAGGGACTTCTCTGGGCTGGGCCAGGCTGTGGAGCAGGGCACACAGGATAGGTACAGGGCTGGGGGTGGTGAAGGAGGGAGCAGGGAGAATTGGGCCCAAGATCTCAGAATGAAACCCTGAGATCTGACTCCCACACTCTAAAGCCACGGCCAGCCAAATCTATCCAGCCCAGGCCTAATGCCAGGGCAAGGGGGTGCAGGGTGGAGGCCTGGCCAGGCCTGAGTGGTACTGACTGGCCATGTCTCTAGCTCATCATCCATGGCAGCTATGCCTTGATCCAGCTGCCAAGTTTCCACATCTACTTCCTGATCCCAGCAATCATCTATGGGGGGGACAAGCTGGTGAGCCTGAGCCGAAAGAAGGTGGAGATCAGCGTGGTAAAGGCGGAGCTGCTGCCTTCAGGTACCAGGCCTAGCCTGACCCAGGTGGGGAGCATCAGAGGCAGGAGACAGCTCAGTCATCCTGAGCTGCATCTGACACCCCTCAGGCACTCCTGGACCTTTCCTGATGGAAATGCCAACCCAGGAAGGGCTGTGCTTAGCTCTCAGGAGATTTGCAGGCAGTAAGAAGAGGCCACTGAAAGTGCATTCAGAGATGAGAAAAAGCCCCGTGTGTGGTCCTGAGCGAGGGGAAGTGCAAGGCAGGAGGCGGTGTATCTCTCTCGCATTCATTCTCCCAGAGATAAGCAAATGGCCTAGATTGCCAGTTTGTTATCGAGAGTCAGCATTGGCCCAAATAGGGATTGATCTCACTGTGAAGGGTGGCAAAGGAAGATTTTATGTGTCACAAGACTCACACTGTAGGAAAATAAATCTCACGTCAGTTTTATTTCAATCAAGATTATGTAAGTATGAAGTCTCAGAGTGGTGTTGGTGTGCCTTTCCACTCTCAAGCATTTGCTGATCTTCTTCAACACAGAGAGAGTGGTGTGAGGCCCAGCTGTGGCCAGGCCATAAACCAGCCAAAATTTGGTCACAAAAACAAATATGTTGCTTTCCACTTAGAGCGCATGATACTGGTTTTCTACTTACTTTAGTGATAAAATTTCATGTCAAGATAAATCAAATTGAAAAAATAAGTCCATTTAGAGAAAAAGTATTAGATAAGTGCCAGTACAGGAGGTGTACAGATATGACCCGCCACGAAGGTAACCCTTGAATGATGGAGGTTTGGTAACCCCTAAGATGATCTCTGGGAAGCCCAAGACCCCTTTATCCAGGAGCTTGGTATTCAGTGGAATGAGGCTGGGACTCATGGTGGGAAGAGGGAGGAGAAAAGAGGAAGGGGGCCTTCCTACTCCCAGCCCCAGGAGCCTCATTTGGTCAGACCATGTAACTACTCCTGGGTCTCGGGAGTGTGGAGAGTCCCCAGGTCCCAGGAGCAGGCGTTCTGATCTGTGTTTGTCCCTGCCTGTGACCCCCAGGAGTGACTTACCTGCAGTTCCAGCGGCCTCAGGGCTTTGAGTACAAGTCCGGGCAGTGGGTGCGGATCGCCTGCCTGGCTCTGGGGACCACCGAGTACCACCCCTTCACGCTGACCTCTGCACCCCATGAGGACACACTCAGCCTACACATCCGGGCAGTGGGGCCCTGGACCACTCGCCTCAGGGAGATCTACTCATCCCCACAGGACAATGGCTGTGCCAGATACCCGAAGGTGCCCATGATTGGGAAACCACTGTGGGGCCTCTGACATTGGCAGAGTATCTCTGCCCTCCCTTATCCTGAGATTGGAAGCTCCAGGCCTACTAAGGCCAGGCTAAGAAAGGGCTGGGGTGTTCAGAAGAGGCTAGAGGACTCTATGTCCTCCTCCCAGCACTTCTGGCTTCAAAGCTGAGGCAGGGCTGGGCTCATCCCATCTCTCCTTCTCTTGGCAGCTGTACCTTGATGGACCTTTTGGAGAGGGCCACCAGGAGTGGCATAAGTTTGAGGTGTCCGTGCTAGTGGGAGGGGGCATTGGGGTTACCCCTTTTGCCTCTATCCTCAAAGACCTGGTCTTCAAGTCATCCTTGGGCAGCCAAATGCTCTGTAAAAAGGTGAGTGTCCCTTCTCTATTCTTCATGTGGAGGACAGGCAGCCTGACTATGTTCCTATATCACAGCAGAGGAGGGTGAGAGAAAGTTCCTGGCTCTAGGCCCTGGGTCTACAGGGCCATTCATGCACACTAGTTCATATGCCGAACTTTGAGGGAGGGTTGGAGGTGTAGCCAAAAGATCCTCTGCTGGGACCTGTCAGTTGGAAGCCTGGGATCAGGCTGGTGAGTCCTTCCAGGCTTTGGCTTCTGTGGGTAGTCTAAGCCCTCAGGGGTCCTCAAACTTTTTAAATAGGGGGCCAGTTCACTGTCCCTCAGACCATTAGAGGGCCAGACTGCAGGCCCCGGGACAGGTCGGCTGCTAAGCAGGACAGGCAGCGGTGGCAAAAACACCTGGCAGGCTGGATAAATGTCTTAGGCAGGCTGCATGTGGCCCGCGGGCACGTAGTTTGAGAATGCCTGGTCTAGGGCCTTTCAACCTCTCAGGCAAAGGCGCCTGGGATGTAGGGAGCCTAAGCCTAGCTGGGACTTAAGCTCCAGCTGTGTGTCCCCAGATCTACTTCATCTGGGTGACGCGGACCCAGCGGCAGTTCGAGTGGCTGGCTGACATCATCAGGGAGGTAGAGGAGAATGACCACCAGGACCTGGTGTCTGTGCACATCTACATCACTCAGCTGGCTGAGAAGTTCGACCTCAGGACCACCATGCTGGTATGTCAGGGCTGGCCAGGCAGGGCAGATTGGCAGGGAGGTGGGTTTGCAGGGGAAGGCCAAATGGCCAGGGCAAGTGGGTGAACAGCCAGGCTTAGCTGGCAGGAGAGACAGAGCTGGTGGTCCTGACCCTCAGCCTCCAGGGCCAGGCTTACCCCCGTCTCTGTCTCTTGGGCTATTTGTGAGCAGGCTCAGGCTGGGTACTGACCCTGATCCTGAACCTAACCTCTCCTGTGCCCTCAGTATATCTGTGAGCGGCACTTCCAGAAGGTGCTGAACCGGAGTCTGTTCACGGGTCTGCGCTCTGTCACCCACTTTGGTCGACCTCCCTTTGAGCCCTTCTTCAACTCCCTGCAGGAGGTCCACCCACAGGTCAGTCTCACCCCTCCCACCCTGGGACTCTTACCTTCCCCCATCAGGACATCCTGGCCCTCCAACACCCTGCATCTCTCTCCTGAGCAGAGAACTCCCATCCCCACCCTGACCCAGGATGGGGTCAACTGCTGAAGCAAGACTTCAATGTGCCTCTGGTCCCCAGTTCAAGCCTCCCTTTCAGGGCTTGGGCTCAAAGTGCCAGTCAGGCTCAAGAAGCAGCTTTCCCTCAGGTAGAAAACATCTCAAGGCTGCAGGCCTCTAAATGCAATCCCCTGACAGGTCCGCAAGATTGGGGTGTTCAGCTGTGGCCCACCAGGAATGACCAAGAATGTAGAGAAGGCCTGTCAGCTCGTCAACAAGCGGGACCAAGCCCACTTCATGCACCATTATGAGAACTTCTAAGCCCGCCCTCCTGGACTCCTGCTCCCAGCCTCTTGCTTTCTCCACTATGTCCCTAAGTTGCCCACCCCTAAGCCCCTCCCTCATTGCCCTATCTGTCCCATGCTCTGAGAAGATACAGAGGACTATTTTCCACACCAAGTTCAAGCAGTGGTTGGTGTGGAAAGCAAACTGGAGAGGGGACCGTGCCTTCTTGTGACTACTGTGGGGTGAAGAGATGTACTAGTGTTTGTCTCCAGTGGGTTCCCATGTCTCCGTTTGACTTCCACAAAATCAATGTATTTTCTTGGATCAGGCATTTGAGGGAGGAGGGGGTAGGGATACCTCTGAGTGAGAATGTCCTCAGGGCCTAGCACAGAAGCCGTGATGCTTAGAATCTCAATGGCTCAATTGTTTCAACCCAGTCTCTGGGCCTTCTCCCTCTAGGAGCAGTGCTGCTCCTACCCCTTTCTGTCCTAGAGGGTTGGGAACCTTGAGGAGGGTACCAGAGAACAAAGTTTCCTCCCCACCCCTGATGTTCCTGAGGTCAGCTAGTGATGCATTGACCCTGGTCTGACCCCACTGGAGCAGTTCCTGAGCTTGGAGACTGAAGAAGTCCAGACCCTCTGAGAAAGAGTCAAAACTCTCCTTCAGTTCCCCACTTCTATAGAAGTTGGGTGACCAGTTGCCCAGGACTCTCCCAGTTTTAGCACTGAAATCTCATGTCCCAGGAAACTCTTCAGTTCCAGACAGATCAGGACAACTGGTAACCTCACTAGTTGGTGACTACTAGAATGTCACCTCCATACTCGGCTCTTTAAGATCCTTCCTTTTCCTTCTTCATCTGACTCATTCTTAAAAAGCTGAGCTGTATTTTAATTTGAGGTATAATTTGCATGCAGTTAAGTGTACAAATCTTAAAGTAATCATGTGCATGATTACCAACACCCAGATCGAGATAAAGAACATTTTGACATTTTCATCACTCTAGAAACTTCCCTTGCACCCCCTTCCAGTTAGTCTCTCCCAACTCCTAGAAGCAACCACTGATGTGATTCCTGTCCTTCTGGTTTTGGTCACTGAATGTGCTCTTTTGAGACTGGCCTCTTGCATTTACCATAATACCTTTGTGATCCATCCCTGCTGTTGTATGTATCAATAGTTCCTTTTTATTGCTGAGTAGTATTCACTGTGAAGATGTACCACAGTTTATTGTCTTTACCTGTTGATGGATGTTTGAGTTGTTTCCCATTCTGGGTGATTATGAATAAAAGTGCTATAAACATTCTTGTGCCTATCTTTTGGTGGCCATAATGCACTCTTAGGGAGGAGGGTGTGGAAATACCTCTGAGTGAGAATGTCCTCAGAGCCCAGTGCAGAAACCATGATGGGTTTATACCCAGGAGTGGAACTTCTGGATCATAGAGTTTTTCAGCCAGTAGGACCTGTGGAGGGAGAGTTTCAGGCCATCTTCACATCCCTTTACCAGGCTCCTGCCGTTGGCCTTACCTACCTCTTCAGCAGGCCTGATGCCTCTGAGTCGCAGCCCTCTATATTGAAAGTATCTCTCTGACAAGCTGGAAGAGCATGAAATCAGGAGCCAAGAGAGTTGGATTCTAGTGCCATTGTTACCTATAAACAGCCACAGAGGAAAATTCCTTAACTTCTCAGAGCCTTATTCAAATGTCTGTGAGGGTATTGATAAGTCAGATAGTGCTATGACCCTAGACAATTATGCAGATGAAAAAAGTTTTTGAAAATACATTATAAAATTGCAGTGTATGATAATTAGTCCACTTATTTACCAATAGCATCATGCCTCCAGGCTGCCAGTCCTCCTGCTTCTTACCAAGTACACAACCAGCCATTAATCCTGAACTCTAGCCCCTTAAGTCTTAGCCTTAGCTTTATTCCAAAATCTGACCTAGTAGTACCTTCCTATTTCATTCTAAAAATTGCTCAAAATATTTATCTGTTGCATCCAAATTTACCTATCCTTGGTAGACTGGAGAATGGCATTAATGTGGCTATCATAATTATCCATAGCACTCCCTCCTCAACCCTGACCTCTCTGTCCCGCAAGGACCCAAGTGAGAGTCTCCTGAAGATTCTGCAATCATGGAAGATGTATCTCCACCTAACTCTTGCCCAAACCCTGGACAATGCTACATGCACGTCCATCTGGTAGAGAAACATGCCATCAAGACCTTGGGTAGTCTCAGGTAGCACTCAGCCTCTCTGGCCTCTGTCTCAACTCCACACCCCAGCCAAGCTTCAGGTATCAGCCCTAAGCACATATCCATGTAATCTGGCTGCTTTGTCCAACCCTGCACAATTCCCAGAAAGCCACCAAATGAGTGGGATAAAAGTCAAGAACTTGCAGAGAGGGCAAAGTGTCTCTGGCCTAGTCATTTCCCAACTCTCTTAGGGAAGTGGTCTGAAAAGCAGGATCATGGTGATTGTGCGATACGCCCTTGAGAAAGTGAGGTCATCAAGTCCACAAGGGTATGTAAGGGAGAGATTAGGATTTGAAAAATATGTAAACAAGGGAGGCTACAAAACTGTTCCAGAGAAAGAGGACATGAGGAAGATGACTCAGAGAAAATTCAAGGAATTTTTATGTGAACAGTGTAAAAGAAAACAAATCTCTGTTTGGGTCGTGGAGATGTTGGTCATAGACCCCAGGACAAAGCCCAATCCAAGCCCTGGTTCACAGGGGCAGGGATGAGACTGAAGGAAGATAATAGAAGAAATCATGTGGGATTGGTTGGTAATGAAACTGGAGGTGGAGAAGATGAGGATGAGGATGAGATTGGATGGTAGGGCTTTGGGACCAGGGTGGGGCAGGGGAAGAGGATGGATCAGGATAGAAGATGAGCTCTGTAGAAGAGGAAGAAAGCCTGGATCATTGTCTTTTCCTTCTAACTTTCCAGCACCAACTGAAAAGGGAGAAAGTTGACAAGAAGTGGCATCCTTCTCACCTACTTCAGAGTGAGAGGGCTCTTAGGTCAAACTGGGTTTGAGTCATAGCTAAGTGATGTTGAGCAAACAAAGAAAACTTAGTGCCTCAGTTTGTAGGTCCATAAAATAAAGACAACATTAGTATCTGCTTCAGGGTAGGTGCAGTGGCTCATGTCTGTAATCCTAGCACTCTGGGAGGCTGAGGCAGGAGCATTGCTCAAGCTCAGAAGTTTGAGATCAGCCTGAGCAAGAGCAAAACTCCACCTGTACAAAAATTAGAAAAATTAACTGTAGTCCCAGCTACTCAGGAGGCTGAGGTAGGAGGATCACTCGAGCTTATAAGTTTGAGGTTGCAGTGAGCTATGATGATGTTGCTGCACTCTAGCCAGGGCAACAGAGTGAGACCCTGTTTCCAAAAAAAAAAAAAATGAGGATCTGCTTCATAGAGTTTGGGAAGATCCAGTGATGTAATTTAGTTCAACAACAATTGCTGAGCCTCTATTATGTCCCAGGCACTGATCCAGTTCCTATGGAACTTACAAGTGTATGGAAGCAAACAGACGATATGTTAGAAGGAGAGAGAGGGGAAGGAGGAGGAGAAGGAGGAGGGGAAGGAGGAGGAGATCTCAGATCAGAAGTGTTTTGAAGAAAATAAAACAATAAAATAATAGTGAGTGACTAAGGGTGACCTTTTCGCTAAGATGATTAAGGGAGGCCCCTAAGAAGATGACAAGATTATAACTAACACACACACAGCTTGCTGTGTGCCCAGCGCTAGTGTGCTTGATATTGTCACTTAGTCCTGAGAACAACCATTATCCACATTTTATGGATTAAGAAAGTAAAGCACAAAGAGCTTAAACAATTTGCTTAAAGTTATCCAGATTGTAAGTGAAAAGACTAGTTTTGGATGTAGAAAGTTTAGCCAGAGACCATGCCCCCAACCATCATTTTATCCTGCCTCTCAAAAGTGGGTTGCAAGGGTTCAGGCAAAGTTAATGTCTGTCATTAACCCTACCCTTTAACTGCACCTGGCACCTGGTAATACTGTTATTAGCGCTACTGTAATAAGAGAAGTTGAGGCTCTGAAAGCAGAGCTCCATATTCTGAGGAATTTGTGCTATGTGGAGTTTGACAGATAGTAAATGACTTGTTCCTAGTCTAACCCTGTACCCTGTCTGACTCCCCATCTTCTCAGGGTGGAGAACTGCCTTCCCCGTCCAGAGAAATGCCCTCTCCCAGCCACCGGAACCATCTAGAAGTCGATCCATCCTGGCCTTGCCTGGAATGGGTGTGACAAAACGAGCAGACCATCTCCCCATCTGGTCTCCAAAAAGCTACAAAGGGCTTGGGAATTCTTCCAGTTGACTTCACAGGAATCCTTACCTTGCCAGGACAGTGTCCTCAAATGAACTGTAACATGAAGTCACTCCCTTTGTGACAGTGAGAGTGATATTCTAGGAAAGGCCTCCCCAAAATGCACTGGATGCTGAAATTGGGGGACCTGGATCCTTGTCTCCAACCCTACTGTTAAAGTCACTATTTGTCCTGAGTGAAGTCACCAGAGTTTCCTGGGCCTCAATTTTCTCACCAGGAGAACAATGAGATTAGGTTAATACCCTTTCCAGACATAAAATTTCACACTTCCCTTCTGCACTCGTTGTCTCAAGGGATGGAAGTCCTATATTTAGAAAACAGCTTCCTTAGCCGTTTATCCAAGGTTAAGTGGTCTGAAGAAAGGAACTAACATTTATAGGTTTACCTTCTATTAGGTCCTACAACACATTTACATGAACTGCCTCATTTAATCCTCACAACTTTTTGGAGAAGATATTTCTTCCATTTCCTAGAAGGGGCATGTGAGACTCAGACAGCAAATGGCCCACAGGCATCCATAAGTCACAGGGTTCAGGGTTTGAACTCAGTCCTGTAATACCTCTGAGTCCCTGCTCTTTCCATCCTGATGCCCATGAAAGTAGAGAAAGGAAAAGAGACTAAGAGGCATCCAAGCATTTTTATAATTCATTTCCCACTGTTGATCGTTCTGGTGATGGTAGTTATTG